AAGGGCTGAGGGCGGTGGCCTTTTTGTTTTTTGAGGGACTGTACATGCGAGCGATGCAAGGGCTGAGGGCGGTGGCTTTTTTGTTTTTTGAGGGACTTGACGTGCGAGCGACGCAAGGGCTGAGGGCGGTGGCCTTTTTGTTTTTTGAGGGACTGTACATGCGAGCGATGCAAGGGCTGAGGGCGGTGGCTTTTTTGTTTTTTGAGGGACTTGACGTGCGAGCGACGCAAGGGCTGAGGGCGGTGGCCTTTTTGTTTTTTGAGGGACTGTACATGCGAGCGATGCAAGGGCTGAGGGCGGTGGCTTTTTTGTTTTTTGAGGGACTTGACGTGCGAGCGACGCAAGGGCTGAGGGCGGTGGCCTTTTTGTTTTTTGAGGGACTGTACATGCGAGCGATGCAAGGGCTGAGGGCGGTGGCTTTTTTGTTTTTTGAGGGACTTGACGTGCGAGCGACGCAAGGGCTGAGGGCGGTGGCCTTTTTGTTTTTTGAGGGACTGTACATGCGAGCGATGCAAGGGCTGAGGGCGGTGGCTTTTTTGTTTTTTGAGGGACTTGACGTGCGAGCGACGCAAGGGCTGAGGGCGGTGGCCTTTTTGTTTTTTGAGGGACTGTACATGCGAGCGATGCAAGGGCTGAGGGCGGTGGCTTTTTTGTTTTTTGAGGGACTTGACGTGAGAGTGATGTAGGGGCTGAGGGTGGTGGCATTTTTGTTTGTTTTTTGAGGGACTTGACGTGCGAGCGAGGTAGGGTCTGAGGGCGGTGGCCTTTTAGTTTTTTTGAGGGACTTGACGTGCGAGCGACGTAGAACTGAGGGCGGTGGCCTTTTTATTTTTTGAGGGACTTGCCGTGCGAGCGACGCAAGGGCTGAGGGCGGTGTCCTTTTTGTGTTTTGAGGGACTTTACTTGCGAGCAACGTAAGGGCTGAGGGCGGTGGCCTTTTTGTTTTTTGAGGTGCTTGACGTGCGAGCGACGCAAGGGCTGAGAGCGGTGGCCTTTTTGTTTTTTGAGGGACTTGACGTGCGAGTGACGCAGGGGCTGAGGGTAGAGGCCCTTTTGTTTTTTGAGGGACTGGACGTGCGAGCGACGCAGGGGCTGAGGGCGGCGGCCTTTTTGTTTTTTGAGGGACTTGACGTGCGAACGATG